TTACGTGTATTTGCCTAGTGGGTGGAAGGATTTACGCCCGAATGATGAAGTGGCACCCGGGGTAACTACTGTAAGTACTCCTTACCTGCCGGCGACACTCACCCCGTTCCGGCGTCAGCTTAGGCACTCAAGTGCAACTTTAAAAGTTTCCAAAAAATAACACAAAGGAAATGTATCGCTTCTGAGTTTGGCATGCCATCAAGCCGGGCCAAGCCACCACCCATTCCACCTGGCAGGAGGCAGGGATTGCCTCCTTCTTTTCGGAGCACTTTTTCGGTGGAAGCTGAGTGGGCGGGGGGCGTGTTCAAGGCTGAGGCGTCACCGTCGTGCGTAGCACATTTTCCGCATCAATGCGCGTTTATTTTACTGCTAAAGCCTTTACGAATGAATGAATGAGTGCTTCGGAAAAAGGCAGCTCCTCGGTTCCTTGCTCTAAACTTTCAAGTAGCTTACGCCTCCGGCTGTCCTCTTCTTTTTTTGTATTTTGTTATTTTCCGATGTTTTTGTTTTAGGGAAAAAAGAAACTGAAGCAGAAGGACAAGGACCAAGGACCAAGATGCACATTTCCTCTACAGGCGGAAAATCCCTTCCGAAAGAGAGAGAGAGAAGCCGATGATAATGTTATGAGGCAAATGTTTTATGCTGAGTCTGGCCGAACGAACATATTTATTGATTTCCGGTCTCAATTCTCGGATATTTCTCCTTCAGTCCTGCACAATGAGAGTATAATTAAAAAATAAGCCTCAAGGCTGCTGCCTTTTACTCTGCATAGTTAATGTAGGAAACTGTCAGAGTCATCCGACACCATCTCTGCATTTCTATAATTAAATTATTTAGCCTTCACTCTGGCCAATGAATATAACTTTTATTCCGAGTAAAAGAAAAGTTTAACTAGAGACTGGTTAAGGTTTAAAATCTATTTATAATTACTTAAAGGAGGTCAAAGGAGTCTAGGATTCTCATTACATTATAGTAGGGAACAGTGTTATCATTTGCCAAACAAAGTTACCCAGGAAGTTTCCAGCCACTCATTTCCGGCAATGTATTAATTTCATTGCGATATCTTTGAATACATCTTGAACATTGCCAGATAATAATTCAGGAATTAGCTTACAAATCGAATTAAATAAGCGACTGAGCAGGACGAACAACAGCCAAACAATAGCAACAAACATCAACGAGCGACCTACTTGTGCGTTTTTCAACTTGACTGCACCGCACCAACAAGAACAATAAATTTATGGCTTTTAAAAATGTTTAACTCAAACTTCCCACACCGCACCAAAAAATGTTGGCCATGTTTGCGGTGGTTGCCTTTTGCCTTTTGTGTCGCAGATTTATGGCCGCTAAAAAATAGGCAGGGAGGGTAGGGAATATGGCAAATGGCTAAGGAAAACTTCACTGGCAGTAGTAGCAGGGAGCACATAAACTTTACGATCTCCTAGGTAGTCAAATTGAATAAATGTTAAGACAATTGCTGACTTCACCGGGGGCCCGGCAAGAGTTATCCCGCGATTGCGTATCCTTTTTGGCCACGACGCCTTCCATTTGCGGGGCCAACAATCAAACATGAGACCCAACTCCAAAAACTTCCGGCTGAAAACTCAAACCCCTGGCCCCGGACGGGACCACCGTCAAATGTCGGTGCGAATTTCATTAAAATAAACTTTTTCTACGAAACTCTCTGGCAGCGAGTACATTTTCATTTTATTTGCCCGAGAGAACGGGGAGGCAAAACGACACCGTGGAAAAAAAGCTCAAATCACGGCCAGGCACTTCCCTGGGAAGCCTCACCTTACCTCACCGCACCCCATCTCACCTGTAGCCTCACTCCCTCCCAATTGGCTGGCTTTTTATGGTCGTCCTTGTCGTCGTCGGCACTTTTTACGGCCAGCAGGGCCAACAGCATTTGCCTCATTTCACTCCTGAGCGAGATCTCTCTAATTTGAATACCTGCGCCGAGGAAGCGGATGGGAATCTGTTCGCCATTCGCATTTGGTAATTTCTCCCTTCTACCGATAACATTTGCATCGCTCTTTATTGCTTTTAAATGTTTTGCGCGGCCTTTCGCCATAAAAACTAGACACGGGGTAAGAAAGAGCATTGAAATTTTGATATACGAATTGTTTTTACTGCCGCAGGCAGCTCCAAACTTTTGCCCCAAATTCCGCCCCCTCAAAAAAGCGAAAGAGCGAAAAAAACAAGCGAAAAATGAAAGCCCCCTCAATTACTTATCAGTGAGTGTATTCCGCTGGAGCTGGAGTGGACTGGATGCAGTAGTGGTGCCCTACCGGCGGATGATGAACTGGAGGTGCACATAATGGCAGGGGGAAGCGGCACAGAGAGTGCCAAGAGCTAAGTGCCGCTTCCGGTGCCGGGATGGTCGCTGGTCTCCACACAAAAAGCTGCAGGTCCGAGCCATAAATTTGCTGGCAAAAAGCTGAAAGACTTACGGTGCTGGCCCCATTACCGAACCTCCTGGCCCAACCTGCTTCAAGTGCAGTGAGAGAAAAAGGAGACTTTATCCTTGAGCAAACTTCCTGAAAATATGTATTTCAATAACCTTTAATTATGTCTACATTTTTGTATACCTTAATTAATTATTTCCTTTCTGTTTAGGGGTCACCTGGTTATTCCAAATTTCTTCATGTGTCGGGATAGCGTCGCCTCGGTTATTGTTGCAATTAATAAGGACGTCGCCAGCGGCGTCTGCCGTGCGTTGCCACTTGGTTGGGTGGCGTGGCCACTCGTCAGAGGCTGACCTCTCCTGACCAGGCCCCTAACACCATCACCCCTGAACCCGCTCGGGGCGAATATTTACTGCCTGAGGGAGGAGGAGGCAGGCGCGATGAGCAACTGCAGCAGCCGAGTAAAATGTCCTTTGCACATTACATTTGCATTGCAGTTACAAGCATTTCGCATTTATCGCAGTGGCAGAGGAGGAGCACTAGGAGATGGAGATGGAGATGGAAACGGAGATGGAGACGGAGGCGGGGTCTAACAATGGACGGGCAGAAATCTCGTCGCCAGCGTCGCTAACAACTCGTAGCATTGCAGCTGCCAGATGTGGTAAGAATAGAGATGTGCCACAGGAGCGGGCAGGAGGGGGCGAGTGGGTGCCACATTTATTGTTTGCAAAGCCTTGTTTATTATTTTACGTGCATTTCCCTTGCCAGCTTCAGCCTCGGCCTCGGTTTTGGGCTCCGGCTTCAGCTTCAGCTCCAGACTCAGCAGCAAGGACTCTTTATGATTCACTCGGTCGCTCCTCTTGGCCGCTTCGAGGACATTTTGTAAATAGCAATGCAGTGGCCCCGGCCCAGGCCTGACTTGGCCCGGGATTGCGCCATCTCCATCTCCATCTCGCCATCTCCAGCTCGCCATCTTGCAGGCGGTTGCGATTTTATTCACTTGCCGCTGTTTATGTGACCCGGATCATCCAGGGCCGAGTCCTGGTCTTGGTCCTCGATGCGGTTGCTTTATGTTTTTAATGCCGTGCGCCAAAAGTCCTTTTGTTTGTACACTTGTACTTTATGTACCGAGCGAAATTTATGCGCCGCTAAGTGGATTCGTGGATTCTGGAATTCGCGGACTCGCGGATCCACGGATCCGTGGAATTCACCCCGAGCCGGCATCTTGGCTCTCCCGCTTCCGGTTTCCTGCATTGTTGCCTGCCAAACAGGAAATGCAATCCTCGCCATCCATAAAACTTGTCCAAAATCTCTGGTTGCTCCTACCAAGCAAGCATCTCCTGCTCCCTCGTCCTCTCCCTCTCCTTCTGCTTTCAAGCTTGTAGATTTTCGCAGGACGAAGTGCGCAGGCATTACAATTATCCTGCGCGTGTCCGAGTCCTTGACTGGCTCCTTATCCGTCCATTTATTGCGCCATCGAAGAAGTTTGGCCGGGCGAAAGGAATTTGCGTTTGCACGAAATTAAAGTTAGCCCATACAGCCCATGGACCCAAAAAAAAAAAAACTCAATGAACATAAAATCGTGGCAAGTGCAAATCCTCAATTAACACGGCAAAGGAACACAGGAACGAAGGACGAAAGAAAAGGTGATTTCTGTTGCTAATTGGAAATCGAGGGTGAAATCGAGGGGAGAGTAGAAAAACACAACCGGATGAGATAGACACTGACCCGCTCCGAACAAAACGTCACAAATGTTTGTTCTTTTGCAGGAAATTAATGCGAAATGTAACAATCGAATTAGTCCCAAGTCTCTATTCCCTTATTTTGTGGGGGGATAAAAGGACCAAGGACCATCCTCTCCACGTTTCGTTTGCCCGTCGATTTAAGGGCCCGGAACACCATCGTTTGACCTTCGGTGTCGGTGGTGGGGACCGACAAAACTTCAAATTGATTTTTCATATTCATTGGCATACGGCGGCTCTGAGCGATTGCGATTACGATGCCGATGTCGATGCGGAGGCCATGCCATGTCCGATGCCGATTTTAGGGGGTTGAGATTGGGCCTGGGACCGGCAATTCTCATAAATTAAACATGCTCCACATAAACTAAAGTGAAAAATGCGAGGGCAGCTGCAAAAACGGAGGGGGGAACTCGCCATTTAACTGTATATTTGAAATATTTTAAATATAAATTTCAATATTTAACTGCGTTCGCCGACAGGAAACGGCCACACAACTACGGATACGCCGGAATACGGAATACGGGCCTGCGGAAAAGGGACCCCTGAGCAGGCACACGAGCCAGGAGAGCGGAAATGATCCATCGACCCGCTGTCGGCTGTGTCCCAAAAAAAAAGGTTTCCTCCTCCTTCCCTCTGTGCGTAGTTGTTGTTACCACAAAAACGTTGAAAATATTTGTGTTTCCACTTATTTGCATTAATGCCACGAACCGATTTACTGTCTGTCCATCTGTGGAAGGGATGCGAATGAAAAACAAAACAGGGGTCAGGGGTCAGGCCGGGCTCAGGGCTCAGGGGTCAAAGTTCAGAGCAATAAATGTAGGTGTGACTTTCCTGGGGAACCCGATCACATCTCCTTTGCTTTATACTTTTCATTTCATACATTCTTACAGATCATTCTCCAAAATTCAGTGTTAATATAACCGCAATGACGGATTTGAGATCCGCCACGAATTGGTCTAGCATTCTGGACTCCAGGGAGGCTCTGCGGAAGTACCTTTACCCCAGGCAACCCGTCATGGCCCCCAGAGCTTCGGAGCATGAAGCATGGCCCCTGAACAGTGACTGGAAGTTGGCCAGAGATACCACACAACACACGGAGGCAACTGCGAAGAAGAGCACCATCTCTCTGCCGAAGAGAGTGGAGCGAATGATCTGGGCTAAGCCGTCCATGGTGGTTTTGACCAAGGCGGCTGTGCGCACGGAAAGGGCCAAGGCATCGGCCATCAAGTTTCATGAGAAGTTACAGGCGAAGAAGACACATCCTGAGAAGTCTGAGCAGCCGGAGAAGTCCACGCTGCCGGAGAAGCCCCAGCGACCTCCTCTGTGGCAGCCCAAGAAAGTGCCACTGCAAGTCCGCAAGAAGCCCCAAGCTGAAGACCATCAAAGGCGTCGTAGAATCCAGAAGCCCACCAAGAAGGCAACCAAGGCTATGGAAATCAAGATGACAAAGCCATCAAAGTCCGAGGTGTCCGGGCAGAAGACCCCGTTTCCGGTCCACAGAAAGCGAAAACCAAATCCAATACGTCGGTGGTACAATGGACGACCAAGCAGTATCCTTGTCGTGGATGCCAAGACCGATTCGGGGATCAGTCGGCCGAAATCAGGTGGTGCGGAGCACCCTATGGACACGAACGGTGGGCAGGCACCACGGCGGTCCAAGAAGTCGTACGGCGTGCCTTTGTGCAATCGACCCACCAAGATCCTGGGCATGGGATATCCCTACTCCCGGCACATGCAGCTGCGCCAGCAGCAGCTCTGTCAGCAGCCGGAGTACCGCGACCAGTATGTACGCATGCTCCACCATCAGCAGCGCCAGCTGGAGCGGTACTACGGCCAGCCCAGCGGCGTCCCGATGGTCCCGGACAGGATAAAGAAGCAGATCCAGCACAAGGGTCAGCATCAGAATAAATACGCGGTGCCAGCGAAGACGTCTCTCAAGGGCCTAAAGAAGGGAAAGCGGTTGTGCGGAAATTTTTACTATGACTGATAGTAGGCGGCAGGATCAATAAAATGGTCACTTGATTTAGTAAAAACCTAGTATTTTAGTTCCTGGAATCTTTTGATAAGTTTATATTCAGTTATGGTACCTCGTGTTATGATTTTATGCTTTTGAAATTGCAAACGCTGATAAGGGTCGATTGAGACCAGAATGGCTAAACCATTCTCTCTCTCGGCTAATCAAACTTGGAAACTGTTGCTTAACCCATGCTGACCCCTTCAATCTAATCAGGTCCCCAAGCCAAGGGACCGAGTTGATTGTGACAGTCAAACCGAGCTCCCTCGTCAGTTTTTCGGCGGAGATGGATCGAAGAGGTGCGACAATTGGCTGGCTCGGCATCGTATGCCTGATGGCGCTGACCACCGAGGCCACTTGGACCGAGAGAAAGGGAACATTCTACAATATAAATGATCGGATTATGGATCGCATGTTGCGCACATTAGACGAGTCATGGAGTCCCTGCAAGCATTTCTACAGGTATTCCAATGGGCGACATACCGAGGGCTTTGACGTGAATCCCGGAATGCTGTTTGCTGACTCGTTAGAGGAGCAGATAAACGCCAAGTTACATGACGTCTTCGAGAAGTTCAAGAATCGATCCCACAAAGAAGGCAGCATGGAGGAAAAGGTCTTCAGGCTGTACAACTCCTGCGAAGCGGCGAGAAGAGAGAACCGGAGCTCAAATATTTTCCTAGACGTAATGAGGCCAGATGTTAATCTCTCCTGGCCTTTGTATATGCCAGAAGGCAGGGAATGGCCAAAAGACCAATTCCGGTGGCTGGACACCCTGGCCCGAATGAGTCGCTATGGACTGCGGAACTTCCTGTTCCATGTGAGTCTCCGTGTGGATAGCGAGGATAATCGAAGCTACATGTATGCGATCGAAAAACCTAAAATTTTTATCCCATCACGATTCATAATTTACATGTTTGTCGATTTAAGAGAATGGGGAGTCCCATACAAGGCCGTAAATAAACTGGAATCGTCAATACATTCTCTAATACGATCAAATGGTGTTAAATACCCGAACAGTACACGTATGAGTCTGCAGAAGCTGGAAGCTGAGTACGGAATAAACCTTATGAAGTTTTTCAAGATTGCTCTTGACCGGAAGCTCGACCCGAATACCGAGATCCTAGTGGATGTGGGATACCTAACAGAGCTTAACCAAATGCTGAATTCCTACGACCAGGAGACTGTGGCCCACTACCTAATGGAGCGCTTTGGAACATTCATGACTTCCTATGAGAAGAAGGATAATTATCAGTGTATCGTCGCTGTCAGGACCTCCATGAAAGCCGCCTGTGAGAAGCTGTATAAGAAGCATATCCTGGGCGAAACCCAGGAGCTCGAGGCTCAGGTCCAAAGAGTGTTCGAGGCAATAAAGAAGCAGTTTAGCCGGAGGCTGACGGCAAATCGCTTGAATCTATCGACCACTTACATATCTAACCTGCGGAAAAAACTAGAAACTACGACTATAAATATTGGTGTCCTGCCCAAGAAGAAGAATCGCCAGAAGACGGACAACTATTTATATGACAAACTCAAGTTCAACTTCGATGATGATTTCGCGACTATGCAGTTGAATGCCCTGGATGTGCTAGCGAAGTCCGAAGACCTTTTCCAAGATAAATTTGATACATTAATTGGTTCCATTATTATTTATCCGGGTTTCACAATTGAATTCGGAAGCAATCGCACAATCTTTATTCCCTATGACCTTCTGGAGGAGCCTATCTTTATGACTCAGAGTCACGATGTCTTCAAGGTGTGTGTTTCCATAAATCAGCTTTTCAGTTTTAGGTTATTATAATCCTGATTTGTTTCTTTCCCTCGCTTATAGGTGAGCCTGCTGGGCTACATTATTGCGGAGCAACTCCTGAAAGCCCTATATCCCATGTACATTGACTTCGACTGCAAGCATTACAAGGAATTTATTGATTTATTGGACAATAATCAGCTCTATTGGGACCGATCCTCCGCATGCTCCTCTCGACACCAAGTTGATGAACAGAACTGGTGGGGACTCCATCTGGTTGTGTTGAATATAGTTCACGATGCCTACTTTTCCCCGGACTCTGGATTCAGCCAAGAGCAGCCAGACTTCACCAGCAAGCCGCTGAAGCAACTCTTTTTCCTGAACGTCGCCCAGTACATCACCGCATATAACTTTTTTTGGACGGAGTCGACTTCAGCCCCGACAATTCCGGATTCCCCATCTGAAAAGGATCTTTTCTACAACACGGTTTTTAGAATGCCTTCTTATGCTGAGGCCTTCAACTGCTCGACCAGTGATTATATTGTAGATGTAGAGTTATGATTGAGTTTAAAACTGTACTAATATATAAATTATTCATTATTTGCTTTAATTTTTGGGATACAACTGGAAACAAATGCATTTATTAAGCATATATAGTTTAATTATGAGACAGGCCAAACACTAGTCATAAATTATTCAGATAGCTTGAACCGTAAATCGATGACTGTTTCCGGTTTAATTAATCGTTGCAGGAAAGTCCAGATTAAAAGTGAGATTGCATAGATTTCGCTTGACTTTAAGAAGTTTTAATAAAGTTCAAGCTGCAGATTATAAGGCAACTATACTCGAGTTCTCCTTGCTCACGCACTTTCTGCGACCCAGCCTCAAGCTCCTGCCTCACCTGCCATTTTCCGCGACCGCTTGCCCTTCGGTGACCTGAGAACTTTCCGGTATTTAATATACTCGCAAGTACTCAAGGGGGTTGGGGGCTCGATGGAGATGGGAATGGGGATGGGGATGGGGATGGAGGCCACCCTGCACGCAGATACAATTAAAATCGAAACGAGCCAACAATGCAAACTGGCGAGCAAACAGGCGAAACAGCGAAACACAGCAATGGAAACGAGCAAATAATGAAGTGGATAAAGTTTGCTGAAACATTGAGTTTTCGAACCGAGCCCCAAATACGAAATTGAACCAAACCGAATGGAATCTAGAGGTGAAGGTGAAGCTGGGGGAGGAGCTGAGAGCTGGGAGCTACGAGCTGGGGGAGCTGGTAGAGGAATAGGAATAGGAATAGGAATAGGAATACCGATGCGATGGAGGGAAACCTATTTTGTGTATAATTCAAGGTATCACGAAAGGGGGGCAAAGCGTGGCGAAATAACATGGGAAAACTTTTGTAATTACAATAAAATTTTCACAAATAACTTGCAATTGTTTGTGTTGGGCAAAGTTGGGCAAAGTAGCGTTGCGGAGGCGGGTTAAGAAGTGACTCCCAACGAATGTGTTAATTCTGTTGTGTATACACCAGTTAGATGCCCTGCCAGCACTTTCCCCAAGATGCAAAAGTGCCCAAGTGATGGGAAAATGAAAAGAAAACACTGCAAAAAGTGTGTGTGTGTGTGTCTCCTTGAAATAAATTAAAATATAATTAAAAATAAAAGAACACAAAATAAAAATGGAACTGAGCGAAACGTGGACCGGAATCGCCCCGAAGATTCGGTCAGAGATCCTCAAAAAACCGGAGATTGCGTGCCCGGCCAATCCGGAATTGTATGTGGAACATTGTTTGCAAATTAATCTTTGAAAATGTCTGAGGAGGAGCTGCTATCCGACCTGGCATGGAGTGGAGCGAAGGAAACAAAGACTCCCCCAAGAGTTGCCCAAGTATTTCTCGCTTTTCCGTCTTATTTATGAACAGAAATTGGATGGCTCATTTTTCAGACAAATATTTATGATCCACTTGTTCGGTATGCGTGCGGAAATATTTGCTTTTAATTTTTATAAAAGTGCCAGGTTCGAGGCGTATTAGAAACGTGTTTTCGGATACGTGTGTTTCCCCGGGAATTAAAGAATAAATACGGAATGCATTCTGCAGTTAATCCACCTGCCGACAGGCAAATTGAGGTGTGGAAATGCAAAGCTTACCAGCAAACACTCGCACACACACGGGTACGAACAGGTGTACTGCTACTACGGCAAAGAGAATCAACAGCAATGGGCAAATATTGGCAGCAACAATGAGGAAAATCTAGTTAAACCAACCGACCGTCCGGCCTCCCCAGGAAAAGCCCTCCCCCCGCAATCCCGATGGCAAACAACGTAGGTTGGATGCCGGGTACTCAAAGAAAATCGAGGGGACCGCCGTCGGGGAAGGGAATCCAAATGAAACTGAAGATTACGAATGTCTGCCTGTTGGGGAAAGGGGAAGGAAATGGGATGAGCCAGGGACTCCATCTCCAAAAATAAGAATAACGCAGTACACAAAAGCAGAAAAAACAAGTGAAGCATCAAGGAGGAGGGGCATACACACAGAGAGAAAATCAAATATTCTTTGCTTAATATTATTTACTGTGAAAAGGTTTGCAAAGTTGTAACCAAAAAGAAGCTCTATTTTAATGAATGTTAAGAATGAATGAATGTTTTAATCAACTGTTAAGAAATAAGTTTACTTACCTTAGCTCTTCCTTATTGTCGATATTAAAAATCATTGACAAAATAAGTTGTTTTAAGTTATTAACAAACTCTTTATCCATATTCAAGGATACCGTTTTTGCTATGTACAAATAAGAACATCGAAGAGTAGGTCCTGGGGAAGGTGAGGTGTATATGCAGACCTCGATTCACGATTGATGTGGCGGATCCGGTCGGCAAAAGGGAAAACGAGGGGCCGAGAGGACTCGAGCCTTGATGGATGGATGGAGGCTTAGCTTAGGAGCGATGTAGCTTAAGCCCGATGCTCCCAATTGGAGCTTTAAGGGAACTTGGAGCTGGGAAATCGGGCAGGAGGGATGCCGAGGCCTTGGGTACATAACTCTCGTTGTCGTTTATTGATTTGTTTTGCTCCAAGGCAGGACCAGGAGCAGCCCAAAGAGTGTGATACATTGCCGGAAAAGAGAGTCGCCGAAGGTGGCGACTGGCGAGGATTCCCCTTTCCCGCTGCAGCCGTATGCGGAAGAAGGAATGGAAAGATCCGAGGACATTGAATGAAGTATAGAAAGTTGAGGAGAGTGAATTCATCATTGCCTTGCTAGGGTTACTCCCAGGTCCTCGTATTTGTGCCTGCGGTGCTTCTGTTTTAGATATTTTCGTTAAGTGTATAACTATAGCTGGATAATACCTTAAAATGTTCGATTCCAATAGTAGGCAACAGAAATTTCAATGCCAAACTATAAAGATAACAGACATGTTGACTTGATTTGATTTTATCTTGAAATTTTAACCAATTTAAAGAGTAATTCAGATTTTATTTCGGTCAGAACAGCCTTCTGATAAACCAATCAAGTCTAGATTTTCTGTTCTGCTTATCTCTTGACAAAACAAAAACATTGTATAACTTCAAAGCCTTTGCCTCTAATAGTAAATATGTTGAACAATGGAAAACAGTTCACTGTGGACAGGATATCACAGGTGGCCAGATGGCAGAAAAAGTCGCCTTGTGGGCAACAATGGAGAGAACATGGGACACATTCGCCCACGGGTCAAGTGTGGAATGGATACACGGGAAGCCCGAGGCGATTGAGAGTCTGCAGGATGCAGAGGCCTGTTTCCACACCGGTGACCTGTGATACCTACTCTATATAAGAGACCTCCGCAAGGATATCCTCGAGACTGTGATTTCGACCATTTTCAGGAGGTGTGTGTGATTGACATTTCTAACGAGGTCAGACAATGCTGGTGCCTTGATGGTCAGGTCCAACGAATCGAGCATAAGTGCCCAGAATATTGTGAATCCCATAGCTATACAGCTAACTATAGTGCACCAACAGCACCAAGTACACGGAGTTAATTACAGTCAACGCCAATGGAAAAATGCTCATCTCCAAATTATCTAATTCTACGTGTTTGTTTTTGATTGAATTTGTTTATTCTTAGCGCTAAAAGTATGTCACATAGTCATGTATGGTTCTGGTAATCTACTGAAATTCTTAACATGTTCTTATCAAACTAAAGTCTTTTTCGAGTATTTTATGGCAGAAAACAACTCTCGCGACGCTCTGCGCACAGTCTTTCCATTCAGATTCGATGGCAGTTCGTTGGTGAACTGGACTCCAGCATGGAGCTGCTTGTGGACTCCGGGCAACCGCTTGGCCACATGCTCCACGATCTCCTGGGCATCTATGGCTGCACCCTTCTTTCGAACAACCAGAGCACCAGCATCGTAGTCCGTTAGCTCATTAGGAATGCCAACCACACAAACCTCCTGCACCTTGTTCAGCTCCAGGATTACGCTCTCGATCTCACCGGGCCAGAAGTGGACGGCTTGGTGCTTGAGGATCTCTTTGCAGCGATCCACCACATAGAGCTGGTTCTGCTCGTCAAAGTATCCCATGTCGCCGGTGTGGAACCAGCCTTTCGAATCCCGCATGCTCTCTGTCGCCTCGGGATTCCCGAAGTACCCTCTCCACACTCGTCCTGTTTGCACCTGAATCTCACCCACTTGGTTGTGTTGAAGGCTCCTACCCTGTTCGTCCACGATGCGCGCTGTTACTGCCGGTAAAAGTTTGCCCACGGAACTACCTGGTTCCAGGCCCACGGAACACGTCAAGGTCCCCGTCTCAGTCATTCCGTACATGGAGAGAAGAATCGCATTACGGCACAGATCTTGACACCGTTGCACTGTGCTCTTGGAGAGTTTGCCACCGCCATAGGTGACCGTTCGCAGGGAGGCAAAGGCTTCTGGGGTGACATCCGGTGAATTGAACATCGCGGACATGTGACGAGGCGCTAGGTAGATAAAGTTCACCCCGTGTTTCGCCACAAGATGCGCCACGTACTCCGGGGTGAATGGTTTGTTGGTAATGATGCGGGTGCCACCCACCAAAGTACTCAAGATGAAAGCCACCAGTCCGGAATACCAGTCCAGAGCGGTCAGAGTGAACATGATCGTGTCGCTGGTAAACAAGGACATCGGGAGAAGGCTCTTGTTCGAAATACAGACCGCCTTGGGTAGGCCAGTGGTTCCCGAGGAGCACAGAACGGCCACCGTCTGATCTCCACCCTCCCTCAGCGGTTCCGGGCTGGAAATATTATTTTGTTAAATACCAATTATAAAAAATAACTCATTTTTCCTATTCACTGGTAAGAATCCTCAGTGGAAGTGGGTTCCAAAAGCGTCTCGATGCTCGGCACTCCTTCGGGGTGATCGCTCAAGGTGAAGAACTCTGGCTGCCATCCAGAGGTTGCAGAATGTACCTTGTGGTATATATTTCCATCGCAAAATATGAGACCAGGCTTGGTTATGGATAGCACATGCCTAAGGGTATCTGCAGGGAAACAAAGTGCATTAAAATATGTAACTAAATAATTGTTTTGGTATATAAACCTTCATCTAGCATGGGATGCGGAGTATGAAAAGGTGTTCCATTCATAAGACAGGCCACAGCAAGAGGCATCAAGTAGGTGGTGTTCTCGCCAACAATGCCAATAACATCCTTATGAGTTAGACCCCGTTTCCTGAGGAACTGTGCCAACCGGATTGCCCACGTAAGAGCTTGGTCAGCAGTGACTCTGACGCCGTCGCTATCGGATATCTGTAATTGGAAAACTTATCAAATCCAAAAAGATCTTATAGTTTATGGAATAACACTTACTTGGCAGACTTTCTTGGGCCAATTCCGCATGTTGTTGAATATGATTTCCCCCAATGATGTGTCGTCCTTGTAAGCGGACACATGACTGGGCGGCGGACCGTACCAGATCCTCCCCTGCTCGTTATAGCTCATTTTTGTGTGGTTTCAGATCCGATGGGATAATGCGACTGAGCAAAAAGTCGAGCAGAGGTTATTTATATGGAAGCTAGCCATAAACCATACCAAACGACTTTCTGATTGCAAAAAGTCAAATGGCATTACTGAAAGCTTGACGCACTTAAAACCCCAATTTTGTGTGTTACCTGCTAACACTTCACCCTAATTGAAGTCTTATTTTAAATTGAATTATAAACTTTTGACGTATTTGCTCAACATGAACATAAACAATTAATTTGTTGCTACTCCGAATCATTATTGAGAACTAGAACAATGCGGAAATATTTTACGATCAGCAATTGCGCAGCTTAAAATAATATTCTACCTGAAGCGGCAGCTAAAACGCCTTTACGTGACTTTTCCAGTCAAGCTTCTTCTACATTTTTATTAATAATTATTGATCCATTGTGACGTATTTTACTGCATTTTATGAGCCCTATTAACAATGGCCCCAATTAAATATGTGTACGAGAATTGCTATTTTTGGCAAATATTTTGGCAGTTAGCTTTGGACTTCGTTGGCAAGCAGACACAATGCCGCAAATACCTGTTACCTTTTGCGAGAAGGAAAGGATCTGGAGTGGACCTCCGGAGAGCTCCATATTCCATGAAGATGCTTCGTTAGGCAGAATCATATTTAACAATATGAAAAACTGGCCCAATAATGTCTGCCAAGTGAGTTCGAGTCCTTAAAGAGTTATTCTTCGAATTATTATCATGTATTAAGATATGGGATAGCAACGGAGAGGAAGTTACCTTTGGCCAAGTGCTCACCTGGGCCATTCGGATAGCTCAGTTCTTCAAGAAGCGAGGTCTTACCCAAAAGGATGTTGTTGGAATCGCCGCTGAGAACTCCAAGTACTTAATGTCCTTGGGAGTGGCCTGCATGATGAACGGAACCCCTTTCCATTCACCCCATCAAATGCTGGGCGAGGGTTTGTTCTATAAAAAAGGATCAATGCATTAGTTTACATTAATGAACTGAATTTCAGAGACCGTAAGACATGAGTTGTCAATTACCAAACCAGGCCTGATTTTCTGTGATGGAAATGTCTATGGGAAAGTACATTCAGCAACCTCTGAATGGCAGCCAGAGTTCTTCACCCTGACCGATCACCTCGAAGGAGTGCCGAGCATCGAGACGCTTTTGGAACCAACTTCCACCGAGGATTCTTACCAGTGAGTAAAACAGATTCCTTTTTTGTATAATTTGGTATACAAAAAGGAACATTTCCAGGCCGGAACCGCTGAGGGAAGGCGGTGGTCAGACGGTGGCCATCCTGTGCTCCTCGGGAACCACTGGCTTACCGAAGGCAGTCTGTATATCTAACTGCAGGCTGATTCCAACGCCATCTAATATTATAAACAGCGAAACCATCTATTTTGCGTTTACCGCCCTGCACTGGATTTCAGGACTGTTATCCTTCGCCCACAACGCTGTACTGGGGCTAACCCGCATTATGAGCACAGATCCCTTTAATCCCGAAAACCTTGTGCGGCTTCTGAAGAAATATAAAATCGAGGTGCTGTCCTTAATGCCTCGTCACATCAATGTGCTGATCACTTGCCCAGAGGCCACCCCAGAAGCCTTCTCTTCGCTACGTGCTGTGATTTTCGGAGGCGGATTCACTGCCTCGTCCACTTTGGAGCGATTCCAGAGGCTGTGTCCGAATGCCGAGCTAGTGCACTCCTTCGCCATGACAGAGGCGGGACAGTTAGCATTAGGATACGGAATTGAGAATGGCAACAGTGTGGGCAGACCTTATCCGGGTGTGAAAATTCGGATCGTGGGCGACAATGGAGAGAACCGAAGACACAATCAGATGGGAGAGATCTATGCGCTCACGGGTCGAGTGTGGAATGGATACTACGGGAATCCCAAGGCGACTGAGAGTCTGCAGGATGCAGAGGGCTGGTTCCACACCGGTGACTTGGGCTACTTCAACGAGCAGAATCTGCTCTACTTAGTGGATCGCTGCAAGGATAATCTCAAGTACCAGAGCATCCATTACTGGCCAAGCGAAATCGAGAGCGTCATATCGGAGCTCAACGAGGTGCAGGAGGTGTGTGTGGTGGGCATTCCCAATGAGGTCACGGATGACGATGCTGGTGCACTGGTTGTGAGATCTAAGGGATCGGCCATTAGTGCCCAGGAGATCGTGGATCATGTGGCCAGTCGATTGACTACGGTGCACCAACAGCTCCACGCTGGTGTTCAGTTCACGGACTCAATTCCAGTCAATGCCAATGGGAAAATGCTGCGCAGAGCGGCACGCGACCTGTTTATGGCCAAAAAAGCTAATACCGAATAACAATAGTTAATGTAAAGCATACCCTTCCGAAATTTTCCAATCAGCACTCGATTCTGCTAACATTTATTTCGTACTATATACTATTCGTACTTTATTTTTGGCCATAGTCATAAATGGTTTCGCTTATCATGAAATACCAAAAAAAAACATTTTTGAAGCCTTCAAATTTGTTATTCTTGGAGGTAAGACTACGTCACATATATGGATATGGATATGGCGAAATAACTGACAACATTGAACCTTATCAATTAATCGACTAATTGCATTTTTGGAAATAAAAAAGTGGTGTGACTGACTGAACTTCAGGATAGTGCCAATGGACTCTGAGCAATCGCCAAATTTATGACCCACAATCTCTTATCAAATTCACACTGACAATATATTGAGTTTGACCAAAATTACTTATTGTAAAAATAATAACTCTAGAATTATTTATCCACCTTATAATTATACCTTATAATTTTAGTAAGAGGTTTTGAAAAACATTTACATATAAATCATATATATGTACATATATCCAGAGGCTATCTTAGTTTGTATCAATTTTCATTTTATATTTTATAACTGGTTTTAATTTAATGCTGATTTATTTACCTAATAAATACCCAACACCGAAACGCTTTCCGAATTAAATTAGTATTATTTTTTTTTTGTTCAATTTCCAATCTGATTAGTTTTAGTTTTATAATAATCAGAATATCTGCAACAAAATATATGTAGTTGTGTTTCATTCTGTAAGTCATACCTACCAAAAAAGGAGTAATTAATAAGCCAAATTTAGACTTACATTTATTTTAAGCATATATGAATCATTTTAATAAAAGCCCGTGATTAATTATTTAATTATATTTTCAAAAATTATAGAGATGAAATGATTACAATAAAAACAAACAATTGGCAAATATTTGTTTACCTTGGAAGTGTTTGGAAAAAGAATATTAAAAAAAAACATACATGAAAAGTGTTTAAATCCCACCTAAGAATCTAACGTATTTTATTGGATTTGTGTTTATGCATAATCCATTTAACCGTAAAATAATCAATATTGTACATAGACATGAAAAATTTAAAAGACAAACTAAAGTGAGCAAATTTGCGAAAAATCCGGAAAATCTAAAAGTCTGGACTAAAAGTTTAAAGAGTTAAATGTAGAATTTTGTTATAATACGAAAATTCAAATAAATCGATACGAAATAAATATAAACAAGAAAGAAAGCTAACTTCGGCACGCCGAAGTTTATGTACCCTTGCAGATAGAACTTCTATGAATAGGAATCCATACAATATAAATTATATATATTTGTGTTAAAAAACAATGAAGTAATACCTGCTTTCATTTCATTCACCTATACATATTATATTTGCAGTTTTACATACACAGATTTGCAGTTTTCCTCTACATCAAACGATCGTTTGACACAAAATTTAAGACTAATATAGAATGGCTATACCTTAAATTTGATGAAAATCAGCTGAAAACTGAAAAAGTTATAAATTTAATTGTATTAATTTCTCGATCGTTCCTATGGGAGCTATATGATATAGTAGTCCGATTTTCATAAAATTTTACACAAAATTGTAGAGTAAAATGACTATATCTCAAATTTGATCCAATTCTATTGAAAACTGAAAAAGTTAAAAATTTTTTTGTATAAATTTTCCGATCATTCCTATGGCAGCTATATGATATAGTCGTCCGATCCGGCCCGTTCCGACATATATACGAGTGAGAGTATATAGAAGGCTGACTACAAAGTTTCATTCAGATAACTTCAAAACTGAGAGACTAGTTTTCGTAGAAACGGACAGACGGACATGGCCGGATATATAATGGCATTATTTAATAACTTTTATTTTACAAAATTGTAAAATAAAACAGTAATAATTAAATTGGAACACTTTCAAGTAACTTAATGTCAAACAAATTCCAGTCTCTTATTTCTAATATTTCGCCTTAAGTTGTACGTGTGCATAATTATGTAATTTCGTGCAAAAAACCCGCTGAAATTCGCAACATTTTCGCCAATTTCTTGCCAAAAAGCATTTTCCCGGGGAAATTGCAAGGCAAGCGCTCCCAGGGGACTTTTGTAGCAAGTGTAACAAGTGTTTATACGCAATTCTCGCACTGTATGAGTATATGTACACAAACATAAATGGCTGCGTATGGCGCAGTTCGCGTGCAAATGATATGAAAATTGGCATTGCGAAGGTAAAAAGGGGAAAACGCAGATTAAAATTGCTGCCTACGAGTGACGAGACTTATTTTCCCTGCCATTTTTGAGCAATTAAGGTTTTAACCCCCGAAGCATCGTCGCAATCTGTAAACAAAATAGAAGAAGTCGCTGGGAAATATCTCAAACTTCTGTATTTTGTATGAAGTTGCATCGAACTCATACGGTGTATAACAGTTTCAGTGCCTGTAAAAAGTTTCGTTATACTTATAAAGCGGTTGTATGCGAGAGTTGTGTGAGAAAGATAACAGAGCAGCCAAAGAGGCTTATACTTATACTGCTACTTATACAGCTCCCGGTGCTCACAGTGACATTTAAAACAGAACAGCCGACGAGGCTTAGAATTCGTATACTTACACGTATAATTATACGAAATCTTATATTCATGCTGATACTTATATATCTCAAACACTGCTCATAGTCAATTTATTCTTATACAGTCATCTATGAGAAGCAAAGGGAAAATAATACTTATAATGGCATTGCTCGCTTATAAAATAGGAGAGTTAAGATACTTATACATACTTCTGCTGCATAGAAATATGTTACTTATAAGAATACTTGAAGGAATACTCTGCTACTGAGTGCTTATACTTGCGTATAAATTATGGAACTTATTTTATACTCAGGACCTTATACTTATAAAACTAGAGCAATTGTAGTTATTTATTATTATTTATAAAATTGCAAAAAAATTTGGTATTTTTATTTTATTTTAAAATTAATACAATGTTTCTCCATATACTTTTCTATACATAAATATATATTTTTAATTTTACATTTAAATTTAGAGAACGTTCCTCTTATATAGTACTTTCTTATAACTCACATTAGTCTTATATACGCTAACTTATACTTATACAAGCTGTATACTACCAAAATCAAAAGTTGTAGCAGACTGACTTATTATGTTTGGGCGAACCAGTTGATTCTTATACCCTTCGCCAGACTTATACGCCACTGTGTGGTCTTCAGTGGTGATTGAACGCCTAAAATCACTTATACTCACTTGCACTTATATTTAGCCATCCCCGGAATGTCCTATAGCTGCGACTCTAGAAGAAACACATTTAAAAAAGTCAAGAAAGCCATGATCTGACAGGAGGAAAGTATTTGGAATCTGTAATCCAAATAATTTTAGGATATTATCTGTAAAAGATATAAGCATTCAAATTTGTCATTTTACGATTTTTGCATCATTAAAAACAGGTAATAGAGATTGAAAAACTTCTAGGTAATATACAAAAAATAATTTACAAATGGTCAAGGTTTTTACTTTAAATTATAAATTCATAAGTTGTAAACCAAACTAAATAAAATTTGTTTGGTTTTTGCTTGAAAAGGTAAATAGCTAACTAGCAGGGGCCGCTTCTTTCTGGGTATTTAAAACATTTTTTTTAGTTTTCAAAATATTTTTATTTGATCAAATCCATAAAAATAAACCTAAACCCTATAAAATATTATAATTAATTTTTTGTAGATTTGTTCACCTTGATTCCCTATAAAAAGGTGAATTGGTGGGCTTGGCAAACAATAAATTTAAAAACAATTACTTTAAAACAAAGTTAATTATTTATTTGAATTGATCCAATAGATTTGAATTTTGCAATATAAAATGAGAAAAGGCGCTACTGTGCTTCGAGTGGCCCAGTATAAGTGTGTGGCAATAAACCGGCTTGGCAGGAACACAAGCAACACAGAGCACGCATACGCACCTTTGCACCATCAAAGACACAGAGAGAGAGAGAGCGAGGTTGAATCTGCACATCCCATCTCTCGCTCTCGGGACACACAACACACACCACCACTCACTTCGTTCGTTTGTTCGTTCTTCGCTGGTCCGCGGAGCTACGAGGTTTTAGTTCGGTTTTAGCTCTCGTTCCGAGAGGTCGGCTTTTCCCGTTATACTCTGATTCCGAGAGGACGCGCCAGGCTCCGTTCCCGTTACTCGACCGCGTCGCACGGAGCCTACCGCTCACCCACACTCCCATACACACACAAGCACACACTCGCACACCCGCACGCGATAACAACGCCAAATTATCGAGTCTGCGCCAAAAATAAAATTAAATATAATACAAAATTAATACAAAAAAATACATCCAGCAAATAGAGCGGATGGCAAGTGCGAATCCCAGCAGTGAATCCTAGCCAAGTGTAGGTCCTAGACCGCAAGGATTAACCCGATTTGACCCAAGGAATAGCCGCCAGCATGCTGTAACCGGGAAGCGGCTGTCGAAAGGCGAAAGTCGAAATCTCAAATCTAAAATCTCGAATCTGGAATCCGCATCCGAGTTAGACTAGTGCCGAATGTGTGGTGACCCAAACACAAATGTGTGGCTTTAACAGCTGGCGCGGCAGCCATCGGTAACTGCTGCGTAGTGTAGTTTTAACCCCCTAAGAAACAGTTGGTTTAACCAAAGCAAAAGGAAAATAAATATCGACAGCAAACGAAATGACCGTGCAACATCAGCAACACATCAAGTGGCAGCAGCATGCAACAAAGCGACGACGCTGCCGTCAGCATTGGATTAAACATTTTCAGCTATTGGGACTCGGTGAGTAGCCAGGACTAACTGGAGGTTAACACTAAAGTGGGGGGGTTAACTGGGAGAAGGAGTTGACTAGAAGAATTCTCTAGAGGAAGTTATCTAAAGGGATGTCACTAAAACTAGTTTACCTAACCAAGGGTTCATCAACTATCTTGAGTATAGCTATCTGGGGGTTAACTAACAGCAGGTTAAGTAGGATAGAGGTTAACCACCACTAGCAAGGGTTAACAGCTGTTGCTCATAGGAACATAAGGCATTGCATGTTGCAACATTTTGAGCCTGACTCTGCGGTCAAAGTGAGCAGGCGTGGTCAAACCATTTCTGATGACTTGAAACTACTCCGTTCTTGTTCTCGGTTCTATGTTCTTAAAGCTTGTAAGCTAATTAATAATTACACATTATGCCTGGCAAGAACAGCACCGGACACACGTACCACAACAGCGCTCCACTTCCGCTCCAATCAAACGCATTATCGTCATCGGGACAGGTTCTTGTACTGTGTACTGGGTACTGGGTACTGGGTACTGGTACTGGTACTGGTACTGGTTTTGGTAGCGGGAAATGGGAGTGGTGCTGGGGAGTTGCACTTGCGGTCTTATCGGGGCTTCCGCCCCCCAATCCCCGAGCAGCTTTGGGCCCCCTAGCCTAGCAAGTCGAAACCAAACACAAACAATCGAATATAATTTACAAAATATTGTGTCGACGCCCACAGTTGTTTCGGTTGTTTCGGTTTGGATCGCTTGGGGAGCAGGTTTATTTTG